CTCTTTGACTCGACTCACTTCAGTTTCCTGCTGCCATCTGAGCTGCTGCTTCACATCAGAGCGTCTTTTCTCCATGAGACGGATCAGCTCAGTGAAGATCTTCTCACTGTGCTCCACTGCTTTATCAGCAGAGCGACTGATAGCCTCCACCTCCTGTTGGAGCAGCTTCACATCTTTCTCTGTGTCCTGGATTCTCTGCTGGATGTTTTGTCGACTCCCCTCCAGCTCTCTCTGCCTCTCAGTCCTTTCTGCTGCAGCTGACACTGTGTCGTGGCCTTTATGTTCATCCACAGAGCAGAGATAACAGATACACTGCTGATCAGTGCGGCAGAACATCTTCATCACCTCATCATGACGAGAGCAGATGTTCTCCTGCAGCTTCTTGGAGGGCTCCACCAGCTTGTGTTTCTGTAATGGAGCCGAGTCACGATGAGGCTGGAGGTGTTTCTCACAGTAAGAGGCCACACACTGCAGACAGGACTTGAAGGCTTTCAGTTTCCTCCCAGTGCAGACATCACAGGCCACATCTTCAGCTCCAGCATAGCAGTGATCAGCAGGAGCAGCTTGGAGTCCAGTCTTCTTCAGTTTCTCCACTAAATCTGCTAACATGGTGTTTTTCCTCAGGACAGGCCTCGGTGTGAAGCTCTGCCTACACTGAGGGCAGCTGTAGATTCTCTTCTCATCCTCTCCATCCCAGAAGCTTTGAATACAGTTGATGCAGTAGCTGTGTCCACAGGGAAGAGTCCCCGGATCCTTCAGTAGATCCAGACAGATGGAACAAGACAAGGTTTCTCGGTCCAGCTCAACTCCTCGCTGCGCCATTTCACCTCGTGGCAGTGACTGTGTGAGTCTCACTTCCTGAGAAGTGAAAGTAGTTTGAGCTCTGATCTAAACATCATGTGATCAGGCAGTGAATGCAGCCTGTCAGCTCTGTGACGTCACCGCTATGTTGCCTGTTCACTTTTCTTTTCCTGGTTAAAAGCAGCTGAGTGACGACAGGAAGTGATCAAACTAAAGTGTCATCAAAGAGCTGAGTTACTGTTGAATCATTTTCTCTCATATTTAATGATCCACTGTGAAACATCTGTGACAAAACATTCCAGTTTCAATGGGCCTGAAACAAACCTGCATTTATTCACAGCTTCAGACGGCAACACGTTCTTACACAGGACAAATACCACAGTGTGATACTGCAGCACAGGTACTGATCAGGTTCTTGTTTGTCACTGCTGGTTTTTGATTTTCCTGTAACAGCAGTACTGACACTGGAACATCACATGTTCACTTTGTTTCCTTTGATTTAACCGTACGTTGATTTCACTGCTGCTCAACTTCTTCTTCTTCTTACAGCCTTTGTTTGGTGGCATCGCTCCAGTTTCCTGCTTCATGTGTCACAGTCTTTGCACACGGCACCACAGCTGTCCTTATATAGTGTTGAGGGGTCGTTACCTGTGCTAACAGGTGACTGATGGTCACTCAGCACACCTGGGTCAGAGCACATCTGGATGGTTAAGAACGTTTGGTGCATCTGGAGTTGACTTGTCTGACTGTTTTCTTTTAACCCTTTGAAACCTGGAGCCACGTCACTTTTCTTGTGCTGCTTTCAGACAAATATTTAACAGTCAAACTCTTGTGTGTCAGAGTCCAAATCTTTAAAGTTACCACTGAACCTGACGCTGTCTTTTTCCTTTAATCTGACTTGTTGGCAAAATGTAGACCAACCTAACTCACTGATTGCTTCATCAAAGCTCCCTCTGCTCCTGACCTTCATACTTCCCTGCAATATTAGTGACTAAACAAAGTGTTGGCGACAGCAAACTGGTGTCATGTGTGTGTGACCACGCTGTTTGAGTGAGGAAAGTTAAAGGACAGAGAGCGACTGACAAACGCTCTTCTGCTCCAAACATCAACACTGGACTTTGTGGTGTCTGAGGAGGAAAAGTGCGTCAGTTCTGCTCTCAGATCAGTGTCACATTTTCTCCATCAGCTTTGTTTGAGACCCTGGAATGAAGACAGGAAGAAAAGACTTTGTCCATGTTTGTTTGTTCATCATGTAAAGCTTCAGTTTGTTCACACATGTAAGTAGCAGATAAACAAAATAATCATACAGTAGTAAAGAGACATAAAAAGACAGGTTACTAAAGGAAGCATGAAAACTGAGAACAACATCTAATGATTTGATGGACATGTTGAAAAAGGAGCTGGAGGAAGAACAAAACCTCAGTTTTCACAAAACCTCATAAAAAGTCATATATATCTTAATCAAAAAATAATTTCATCTTTATATCCTTATCCAATCATGACAGGTGTGATTTATTTACTCTGTCAGACTATGTCTATATATACACACACACACACACACACACACACACAAAATAAATGAATAAATAGTCAAACACTTTCTTCAGTCTTGTGAGAATCATCTCTTTTTAAATCTGCTTTATGTTGGAACATTCCTCAGTTTCACTCCACAGACAGAAATACAAAACCTTTTTCTTTTCTTGAAATTTAATTTCCCCTTCAGTTAAAACCCTTCTGCCTTTCAATGAATAATAATAATTAATAATTTCCTGGTAGTAAATAGTTTTTTGCTTTAAATATTATTTGTACCGTCTGTAATTCTACGAGATCTTTAGGTTGAGAGAGTTTTGACTGTAAGAATAAAGAGTGTGTGTGATCCCTATGTCCCGCCCCATGAACGATCTGAAGTGCTTTATTTTGCAAAATAATTAATGGATGAATTGAACTTCTGTAGTTGTTGCTGCAAACCTCTGCACAGATGGAAGAACTAGTGAAGAGTACAGACTGTGGAGCGACTTGTGATCCAGGACCTGCTGTGCTTTATTAAACACTGCAGATTGTAGATATATAAATATATTTACTACATCTCTCTTTACATTACAGTTTATTACTTTACACCTGTCGACCACAAATCTCCTACAAACAGATATTATTTTACTATTTTATATTTCATTCATTATATTTCAGCCCATATTTTAACTTCTGGATTATTTGATGTCTCAGATTCATATTTTTTAATTTGTGTATTTGTTTTTTTTAGTTTAGTTTTTTAAGAGGAGACAGAGCACATTGATGAAACTGCTAGAAATAGCTGAAAGTGTAGTTTTTCATCTCGGCCAAGATTTTACACAAGGTTTCATAAAAACAGACACAAAAAAGAAAAAGCGTTGATGGATCTAATGTCTCTGTCAGATGGCATTAAAGCAGTGAGGCTGTAGTGACAGAGCACACCAGCAGGTGTCAGCAGGTGTCTGTGGTTTCTCTGCAGATGACTCACACTGCTGCTGCTGGTGCTGCTGGTGGTGGTGGTGCTGGTGCTGGTGCTGGTGGTGGTGCTGGTGGTGCTGGTGGTGCTGGTGGTGGTGCTGGTGGTGCACAGTCCACACCTGCAGTGAGTTATGTCAGCCTGTGATGACACAGCTTCCTGTTTCTCAGCAGGACCGCACTGAATCTGCGCCCACAGAGTTTAGAAGATTTTATGAATCTAGCTGCTGCTTGTAAAACTCAGTGTCTCCTCCACCTCCTCGTGCACGTGTGTGACAGTCGTGTGCTGTATTCAGTTGCATTAAAATCAGAGTTCGTGGTGTCGTGAGAAGAAATGTCAGAAATCAGATTTAGTGTCAACAGATAGTTCATGTTTGTTTCTCTGCTCCTTATTGAAGCTTCAGTTTTAACGGCCGTGTGTCCCACAGTCTGGTGTTTCCCTGAAGTGTTCAGGATTAAATCAAATTTCTGATTTAAAGTTTCTACTAAAATCTACTCAGTCGTTCTTTTAGCCTGCTCGAGGTCATTTTAGGTTTGAATGTGTGTGAGGTTATTTTGGTTCAAAAACAATTTCTTTTTTTGACAATATTCATTTATAACAAACATTCGGTGGTTTTTCATTTTGGATCAGAGCTGAAAACTAGAAGAATCCACAGATTCAGTTTGTGCTGCTGATGACATGTCCTGGTTTGAGTTTGACGTCTTTATAAAGAACTCAGCTGTCAGTGTGTGAAGTCTGTTTCATTGTGTTACTGTGTGAACAGAGTCTGAGCTGGAGGAGGAGGTGGACGCCCTTCAGACGGCGCCCTCTCTCCTAATGATGTAAGACACAGATAAATGAGCCCTGATTGGTCGGATCTGTGTGGCGCTCAGCTGTGTTCACCTCCAAACACTGAGGATTTAACTGTTGTCAGGTGAGAATCAGGTGTTTTTGGAGCAGAGGATGAAGATGAACAATTTATTCAGATGTTTCGTTTATTTAAAAGAAGATGCTGAAAATGTTCAAAAGAAAAGAAAGAACTAAAAGTAAAGAGGATTTATTAGAGTCTGAAACCAGTCTGTTACTGGGACTGTAATCCGACAGCAGCCAATAGGAGTCCAGCTCTCCTGTGGCGAGCGGCTTTGATAAGTCATGTGACGCTTGGAGGAGGAGGAACTTCCTGTCACAAAGTTTTCACTGAAATCTTTCGAATGAATTCCTGAAGTTCAGACACGTTTCTGTCGCTTCATATTAAACGAGCATCAAAGAGTCAACGAGCAGAAACACATGTAAACCTGCGTGTGTTTAACATCCTGCGTGATGAATCAGCCTCAGTGACCTCCTTCCTGTGTGTCTGTGAGCTTCCTGTCAGTTACGTCTGCCTTCAGTGACGCAGCGGGTCAAAGGGCACCGCGGCCTGCCGTTAATCAGCGTTAATGTTTTTAACGTGTTATTTTGACAGACCTGACTTCAGTCGTCTGTGTCACAGTTTAATGAACTTTTTTCTTTACCTAGACTTTAATAAGATGACAGAACCAACGAATCAGGAGAGAGAGCTCCTCAGATGTTCTGATGTCAGTACGTCCTGCCGTGTTGCCATGGTTACAGTGTTAACATATCTTACTCCTCACCTCGTCCTGCGGCGTTCGCCCTGTCTCAGTGAAGCTTCAGTGCAGCTCAGAGTCTCTGTTGTCTCCTCGTCGTCCTTCAGGCTGACCTCAGACCACTTTCATTTCTGCACTCTGATTGGACAGTTAAACGTCTCTGCAATCAGAGCAGCTCAGACACAAATAACAGCCTCTGATCCGTCTGCTGATCGCTGTATCGATCGCACTGTGTGTGTGTGTGTGTGTGTGTGTGTGTGTGTTGAACAGGTGTCTTCAGTGGGGGAGGCCATGTGGAGGCAGTCTTCATCTCCCCCAACTCGGTGCTGACAAGACTGTAACATCAATGTTCCACCTCAAAAACAAGGAAGCGACCTCGACAAAGACACTGCGCATTTCCTCTGAGGCCTTGGTGTTTCAGTCTGGTACCGTAGCCCCATGTCAGGAGGCTGGACACCGCACTCAACGCCACCCTACGGACTGTCTGCAACTGCCTATGAGCCACAAACCAAGTGTCTGCCCTCGCTGGTGTTGCTTAAAAGGCACAGACAAGTGATTTTTGACCTCCTCCACAATATCGCCACGGAGACACCACTCGTCTCAAGTCCTGGCGCCCCTTTGCCACAAACACACCCAGGAACTGCACCATGCAACACCGTCTGATACCTCCAAGGCTGCCTGGGTCAAGGCAAGATGGAGGGACCAGTGGAAGTCAGCAGAACCATCAAGGCTCCACCACTACACTGAAGACCCCACAGATGTTCCCGGCCAGCAGCTGCCCTGAAGCAATGGACAACCCTCAACCGCCTGAGGACGGGCGTAGGACGCTTTGGGACAGCGATGCAAAAATGGGGTCTTGTGGACAATGCCCACTGTGAATGTGGGGACCCACTACAAACTGTGGAACACATAATAGCCAGCTGCACCGAATGGCAGTCGTGGTCTAACTGACCTGGACGGTGAAACACTGAACTGGCTTGTGTC